TTACTAATGTTTTATCATAAACTTTGCTAGATACTGCTGATATCATTATTAAAAATTCCATCAAAATGCTTCTACCATAGTTAATTCCAGCAGTTTTTGAACTTACATTATGAAATTGACGTTTTTACCATGATTTATGTTCCCTTTGTTCCATACTACATTTAGAGATTTTTTTAAAGTATGTTTTAAGGAGCTTGTATTATCTATATACTTTATAGCAGGACAATAAAGGGAGCCTCCTAAAAATACGTTAACTGAGAATCCCCGGACTATCACTCAATACTGAATATCATAAATCTCTGACAATATATGGGAAAATAATGTCCTTTTATAATAAGTTTCACCAATTTTCTGAACTAAAGTTGAGTTAACTAAGTTAAATGTTCATTAGCTCTTTTATGAATTACCTATTTTTATTATTTGCCTATTAAATCATTTTCTTCCAGGACATGGTGTAATGTTCCACGTATTTAGGTCTTTCATTCTTTGGGGGGGACCTGTAGGCTTTCAGGCACAGTTCTAGCACATGTTTTGGAAGGCTACTTGTTCTTGTGAAGGCTTTTATTTCTATTTCAGTTATAATTTCTAATCACATAAGTATATGAAAAGTTTTGTGGTATCATCTTTAGTATTTTCCTAGAAAATTTATGAACAGTTAACAGATTTAATGAGTGATTATCTTCAATCTTCCAAGGACATGATCAATCATCATCTAGAAATGTTGGCAGTAACATTTTTCTGTTCCAGTGGTGACTTAAATGTCTCATTTCCTTCTCTTACCATTTTACTTTAACTAGAACTACAAAACGAATACAGACGATTTGCAAAGAAAACAAGTTTCCTTATTTTATCAACATCTTTAATGAGAATGCTTCTGCCATTTCATCAATTGTTATGCTTGCTACAGATTTCTTCTACTGGCTTTTAACAAGTTGTAAAAATTTATTTCTAAGTTCACACTTGCTTTAAAAAAGGCCATTCAGGGTGTGACTCTACTTTGCGTACAACCAGAGATATGAAAAATCGTGCTCTATATGTGTAATATAAATTGTAATGCATTCTGCTGTCATATATAACAATTTAAAAAAAAAAAAGGTCATTTAGGCCACAATACAAAGAATGGATCAGAAAAAAGCAAGCTAAATGGATGGAGTTGGAGAAGATAATGCTAAATAAAGTTACCAATCCCAGAAAAACAAATGCCGAATGTTTTCTCTGATATAAGGAGCTGATTCACAGTGGGATAGGGAGGGGGAACATGGGAGGAAGAGACGAACTCTAGATAGGGAAGAGGGGTGGGAGGGGAAGGGGGGAAGGGGGATGAAATCATGGTGGAATGTGATGGACATCATTATCCAAAGTACATGTATGAAGACACGAATTGGCGTGAATATACTTTGCATACAACCAGAGATATGAAAAATTGTGCTCTATATGTGTAATATAAATTGTAAGGCATTCTGCTGTCATATATAAGAAAAATTAATTTAAATAGAATAAAGACATATCATACCTTTCCACCCCACCCCACCCCCAAAAAAAGAAAACAAAAAACAAAATGCTTGGGGCCAGAAGACATTTCAAAATTTTTCAGGATTTTAAAATATCTGCATATACATAATGAGATGTCTTCAGGACAGGACCAAAGTCTAATGTATGTTTCACATACACCTTCTATAAGTATTCTGAAGGCAATTTTACACACTATTTTTAGTTTGCCTGCATTTTGACTGCCATCTGTCACATGAGGTAGTTCATGGAATTTTCCATTCATAGCAACATGCCCAAAACTCTAAAGGTTACAAATTCTGAAGTATTTCAGATTTGAGATTTTCAGAGTACAGATGCTCAGTCTGTACTAGCAAACCAATCCAGATCCAAAAACTGTAGACCAAAAGCATAATAAGAGCTTTAGACATCATGATCAGGTGAGATGTATTCCAAGAATGCAAGAGAAGTTCAACATACTAAAATGAAAGTAATACACTACATCCATAGAATAAAGAAAAAATTCTTAAAATCATATGATCATCTTAACTAACGTAGAAAAAGCATATGACAAAGCCCTACTCTCTTGGATGATTATAAAATAATTAAAGCAACAACTAGTAAGAGAGAGAAACTTTAACTCAACCTGATAAAGGGCATTTATGAG